TGGGGGGGGTAATTAAAATAGGTTAAGACGTGATATAAAAATTTCTCATAATCAATTTGAATTTATACCAGGAAAGTTTACTATGGAAGTTGTATATCTATTGAGAATTTTGATGGAGAAGTACAAAAAGAGTAAGAAAACCTACATATGACTCTTATTGATTTAGACAGAACTTGCTTCAAGGTACCAAGAGAAGTCCTTAAGAGAGTTCTAAACAAGAAAGGTGTTGATATGACTTATATTTAAATCATTAAAGATATGCAAAATAGAGTTGTTATTTGTGTTCAAACGGAAGGAGGATTGATCAAGTATTTCCTATTTCAGTTGGATTACATCATGGATCGACTTTAAGCCCATATCTAGTTGTTTTAGTTATGGTTACTCTTACTAGATAATTACAGGAGGATGTCCCTTGGTGTATGCATTTCGCTGATGATATCCTTCTCGAGGATAAAACTAGAGAAAAGGTTTGAAAAAAGCTTGAATTATGGAGGTCAACATTAAGTCTAAAGGCCTTCGTTCAAGTAAATCTAAAATTAAATACATGAAATGTAATTTCAGTAGTAGTGGCTCGAGTGACAGAGTTGTAACTATGGTTGATTCAATCATTAAAAGGTGAACGTTTTAGATATCTTAGGTCTATTGTTCAAAGTAATGGTGATATAAATGGGATGTTATTAGTAGAATTCAAGTTGGTTGGTTGTAGTGGAGGAATGCATCGGGCCTATTGTGTGGGGCCTATTGTGTGATAGATGTGAGAAAAGTATTGCTTAGGCTTAAAGGAAAATTTTATAAGATGGTGGTGAGACCTATAATGCTTTATGGTATAGAATGTTGGCATAAAACAGAGTTAGTTGTTGTCGATATGAGAATGCATAGGTGGATGAGTGGCTTGACATTTAGAGACAAAATGTGAAATGATTTTATCCGTGAAATGATTGGTGTAGCTCCAATGGCAGACGAGATTAGAGAGTCGTCTTAGATGGATTGGTTACATTAAACATCGACTATCTCATGATTCAGTTAGGAGAGATGTTATAAATTCGACTTAGGCTAAAAAAGACAAGGGTAAACCTAAAAAGACATGGGCATATTGTATAAAAAATAATCTTAATCCATTAGAATTAAATGAAAATATGACACTCAATAGGACACAATGGAGAAAAGGGAATCATGTAGCCCACCCCACTTAGTGGGATAAAGGCTTCTTGTTGTTGTTGTTGTATTAAAAATCAACTCTCCTACAATATAAGAAGTTAGCTTTTGTACATATTTTCATCATATTTAGAAATTAGCTATCTTTTATCTTGATCATTTATTATTTTCATAAAGATTCTATGTAATAAGCTGTTAGGAGTATTTTAGAATAGTTGTCATAGTTAGGTTATTATCATAAATTGATCATTATGCTTTGTAAGAACCTAGTTATAATTAATTGAAAGAAAATTTCTTAATTTCTTACAAACCCATTTCAGCTTCGAAGTTTCTGATTACAGAAATTAGCACAAATTGCTTGGAGCATTCAACAATTCATATGAATATATGATTCAACATCGACAACTTGAAAATTTGTTGCTTGAGATTTTTTTTTTCCTTTTCATTTCTTTCAATTACATATTTAATTTAAAATTCCCTGGAGCGGCCAGTGACAATTTAGTTGTTAGGCTATTTCCACAAATAACTCTTGCTAAATTTGTCACAACTCACATTTTGTTCTCCTAATTTTTTTGTACTTTGGTAATCAACACAAACTACTATGAAGATTCTGTAACAATATAAATCAAGAGCTTGTTTTGAATTATTTTTTAATTTTGTTTTTGTTTTTTGTTTTTAGCTTTGTTTCTCTTTTTAAGAACGAGTTGGTATGATGCATTTATTAAGCTTTTTTGTTAATTCTTAAAACAATTTAACTTATTTTTAAAAATACTCAAAATAACATTTATATGTTTTGTGCTGTTTTAAAAACAACAACAACTAACGAACATGTTCTATTTCAAAATAAAACATAAACAAAAGAAATAAAAATAAAAAAAATACATGTGATCCCAAATAGCCCCTAAGAATATGATGTTTTGGTATTCACTTTTTTTTCATTTCATTCAACTTCTTGTGGAATCTAAAATTTTGTTGTCAAGTCCTAGTCTATAGTTTTACCCTCTATAATATGATTTTGGTGTCATTATTTATGGCACAATAACATGGCAATATTAGCATTATAGGTGCCTATTAAAAATTTAGTTAATGTACAGTATCTAAATAGGGTACATTAGAGTTATGATCCTCAATTTTTTAATGATGTTTGAATGATTCAATCCTGAAAGCATGCCTCTAGGAAACAAAAATGCAATTCCTTTCCTCTTCAATATCCCTCACTTCTTCTAATCTGAGATAACCCTCTTCATCTCTTCTTCAGTCCTATCCAAGGCCTTCAAAACCCCATGCAACCACATGAGCTATTTAAAGTAAGGAAGCGAGCCATTGCTTCTATGATTGCCGTGTTCTGATTCCTGCAATTTAATCTCATTCTTCTACACTACAGAAGAAGGAATCCCCTCTCAATTAACTTCTCAAGCAACTACCCTCCACTCCAATAAACCCCACACCAAGGAGGTGGACTCAAGCCTCTATCACAAAAATATACAATCATACCATAAGAAATTCGAGAAAATTATAATGAATGCACATATTTCAAGCTTTGTAATATCAAAATACATTGAAATATTGATAAAAAAGATACAATAGCACATTTTAAAAAATTTTAAGCCCCATTAAAGAAAAAAAAAAGTAGAGATACATAGTAAAGAAATGCACATGCATTAAAAGCCAACCTTCAATGAGGAAGTCATTAGCTTAAGAGATTGCATCTTCTCAATTTTATCTAAGGTTACCATTGCGCCTTCCATAGATTTGGAGTTGCCACTGCATCAAAACAAAGAAAAAAATTTACATGGGTTAAATCCAACCAAATGAAGAAACTTTGCATGCAATTTCAATATTTATAAGACTATAAGTATTCAATAGTTCTGTAAGGAGTAAGTTTACGGAATAAGCTACAAGTTAGTTTAACCTCCATTTAAATTTGAATGTAAAAAGGAGCGCTTGGACCAAGCTACATATTAAACTCCAGTTGAAGTGTAGGAAATTCTTGTTTGGAGGAGAATACTAAATTAAATAATCTATGTTTAGATGGCCGACCCTCTGAATTTTGTTAAAGAAAGATCGATTCCTCACTAAAATGCTTTCCGCTTACAAATAATTTGCCCCTCAAGATATTAATATCACGATATAGACCTTAAGGACACAAAACCTCAGTTAAAACCACATTTCTAAAACAAGAAGCAAGTCCATCTGAACTGCAACGTCCAATGCAGTAGTGAATAAAAGGAGAAACGAAGAGCATGGTAATGATATAAACAGGATAAGCATACAAAGATTAGTTACAAGGAACACAGCCAGAAGAAGATTTGCTGACCTTCAAGAGAACGCAAATCCAAAATAACTGAATAAATTTATACATAGAGATAACAAAACCTAAGAAATGAACTTGATAAAAGAGTGATTAGGGCAGTAGCAGTATGCTTGCCTAATAAAGAGTTAGATCCCCTTAACACAAAACCATGGGTTTAACTGAAATCTAATTCAGCACTACAGCGAACTGCACACCTCGATCAAGATGCCAATATACATATAACCACAATTGGAAAATAAACTGATAAAAAATACTCGTTCCATATCTATTGCTAACCCAAAAGATTTCAAATTCCGCTTTATTATCAATTTCTATGGCACCATCCATTTCTTGACGATTACAATATATTTCACAGTACCGCTAAACTAAAATAAGCTCGGCATACTGTTCCAGATGTGAACCTGGCTACATGTAGAGCTTTTTAACATTGATAATCACTGGACCGTGGTAGATAAATCAACATGATTAGCCTAAGAAATTTACTTAACAATATAAATTCCAGCACAATATTCTAAATTTTTATATTACTCAGTTTGCCTTAATTGTCTTTCATAACATTAGTTAAATTTATCCCAACAATTAAATAAAAATAAATTAAAGTGATTATTAAAAGATTTGTTAATGTAATGCTATATATTCATAAATTAGAACTCAAACTAATAAGAAATACATTTTCATCATAAAAATTTATTATGAAAAATACTAAAAGTTCAAAACAATAAATAATTATTTTTTTCAGTACATTTTTATGAAAGTACGAGCTCAATTAATGATTCAACTATATATAGGGAGATTTACATACCTACCACCCAATTCCTTTGTAATAAGATATCAACCGTCTAAACTTCAATTTTTACCTACAGACAGCCTAAATGATGCCAAAAACATAGGAATCGGTTGGTGTGTACGTAAAAGTTTACGTTTTGGTGGTTGATATGTTATTACATAGGAATTGAGTGGTTGGTATGTAAATGCCCCTTAAAAATGAAATAAAACTGCACGTCAAAACAGTCAATAATTGAAAATCATATATATTTAAAAATTATCTACTTCATAGTTAAATAACGCCTTTTACTTTATATCTTAAAATGTATTCATAACTTTGAAATTAGCAATTATATCAAATACAATATTCTACATTTTCAAAATATTTAATAAGAAAAAATGAATGAAAATGAAACCAAAACCAAGCACTGAAAATACCAAAACTAATATCCTTTAATAAGAATGAAACAAAAATCAAACTCAAAATTAAGCTTAAAACAATTTGGAGAGGAGAATAGTCAATGATGGCTGGGTCGGCTATTTGTCTGAGGAGGCAATAAAGAGTTATGGCTGCAAGATTATCTTTCTGAATTACCTTGTTAGCTGAAATTATAGACAAGTGTGAAAATAATTATTTTAAGAAGAACTAAGCACAGATTCATGGCTCTAGTGCATGATTATTGCAAGAAGCATGCAGTAAATGAACGATTACATGAAATAAATAGACAAATTCACCTGAATGAATGCAGTCTAGCAGCTAATTTGTCTTCATCCTGTCTCTGCTTGATTTTTGCAAGTTGTGTAACTCTCCCAACATAGCAACTCTGATAATGGAAAAGGTAAAACACCACGTCATCATCATTATAAAAATTAGGGCTTAGTTTTAGGAGAAGTAAAAAACAGCTTTCTAGACTGAACCCAATTCATACTGAGATAATATTTGCATGAAATTTAACCACAAAAAGAAAAAAACATGTAAGTTTTTTTCATAAGCCTTTCATGTTCGCATGTAGCATGCATGTTGAAAATTGGAGACATTTTATAAACATTTGATGTAATAAATTTTATATAAATCATATGTTTAAAGGAAGGATAATTTTCAGAAGTACTTTAGGCTGTCATTTCAAAAAAGGGGCATTTACAAGCATACCACCTAATTCTTATGTATTTACATATGTAAAACCTAAACTTCGATTTTTACATTTATATCACCCAAATCTTTCATATCACATTAAAAATGCCATTATGTTATACTTTAAAAAGCAAAATACACCTTCTCATTCAAAGATAAGGTGGCATGTAAGTAAAAATTAAAGTTTAACTATTAGATATGTAAATACATAGGAATTAATTGGTACATATGTAAATCTTTCTTTAAAAAATGATTAGCCAGAAGAAAAAGATAATGATGTAAGATCCATACATACTAAGCGTCAAGATACACAAAATAGTTTATATAATATTAAGTAGAGTCCTCGCATAAATTTTGCCAGGTGGTCATCCAATGCATAACAATCCTTCAGATATTGGTTAGCTTGCCGACAAAATTAAATAGGCCCTCCACTTTTACTATTTTTTCATCCTCTCAAGCCTATTGAAGAAGAGTGTAAATGTTATTTATTCATGTCCGGTAAGGTGCTTTCCTTTTCCGTGCCACTGACTCTAGGTTAGAAGATCATAGTGGGCATACAATATGTAGTATTCTGATGAAATTCATTTTTGGAAATAGGTAACCGATAACTTCGCCGTTGAAATGAAAAAATATGGTAAGTGGACATAGTAGAACATCATAAAATAAAAATAAAAGTAATACAAGTTCAGGTATTAGAAGTTGATGCATGCAAAAGAAAACACCCATTTACACTTTCATGTTAGCTTCAAACGACTAAAAATAATCAAAATTCGAGATGCTGCAAGACTACTCAGGAATTTGAATTTCTAATGCAGCCAATATGATAAACAGTTGTAGAGGATTTGCATGTCACAAGTTATCAGTTATACCAACAACTTATTTTATTTCAATGAAACTGATAATGGCAGAGCCTTATTGACAATAAAATGATCATAAACATCTAAGAGTTTTTGGAGGAATTTCAAATCAAATAAAACCAGCGAACAAATCAATTAATTAAAACAAAAATTAAAATTTCGCATATAACATTTAGACAAAAAAATTATGTAAAAATTAAGGAGCAAAAATATCAAAAGAAAAGGGAGGTCTCACAAGAGTACAAGAGGATGATTTCCCTAAATTAGATAGTTACACTTGTACTAGAATCGAAAGAATCACATATTGACCCTCAAAACACGACACGTCACACAAAATAGAGAAATATAAATCAAACCAACATTTGCGACTTAAACGCTCCATACCACTATTTAAATAACCCTCATAACATAGGCTAGTTGATACCGGAGATACCAGAGGAGAAAGCCCAAACCACAAAAGAAACTTTTATTAATGGGGAAATAGGGTTACAACATACAAAGGCTGAAAATAACATCACCCAAACATAAAATGATGAAACAAGCGCCTCGAAAGTGCGTCTCAAGGGCAGTAGAGGTTGGCTATGTGGATCGGGATGGCTAGCGGGGATAGTGGCAGCAAAGATGGAGTGTTAGGAGGTAGGTTTGTCTGCGGAACAGCAAGCTGCGGGGCTAGACAAAAGATTTGAAGGCTGAAAAGTGGGTTGGAGGCGGTTGGGGAAGTGTTCGACAGCTGCGGAGGAAGAGGTGGAACTGCGGTGGCCGGATGAGGGCAGGCTGGTTACTGGAAGCAAGAAGGAAAGAGCGGCAGTCTGGAATGATGGAACGGTAACAGGAAAACAGACGTACGGTAAGATAAATGCCTCCTCGGGATCAAGCTACAGCCGGAGCACCACTCGAGCCCTTAACGACGGTCACCACCTTGAACGACGGATAGTTGGGGCACTTCCTTGCCTTTGAATACAGACCTCCAAGGGGAAAACAGGACGCCGGTGGTTGTCCAAACAGAACGGGGAATTCTTAAACAACAAACGGCGCTCTCCCCTAAGCAAAACAACCCCTATATATAAGAGGGATTAGGACATATTAGGCAATGCTTTTAATTAAGAAATAGAATATAATAGCAAGGATTTATAATAGGCAATGTTTTAAAATAAAGAAGAGAATAAAAATAATAAAAGTCATAATTTAGGCAATATTTATAATAGGAAGTATTCGTAATAAACAAAGACTAATAAAAATAGTAGAAATTCAAAATTGGCAAGTTCTAGGAAGGAAATATGGGAAAAGGAAAGAAAGGAGAAGCATGGGCGGAAGCCAACTTTTTTTGGTACATCCAGAGTGAGAGTTGCATGACGTTAACTCCTCTGGTAGGTCAATCATGTTGGTGTTCTCATTCCACAACATATTCTGGTACAATAGGTAGCCAACTTTTGTTGGTACATTCAGAGTAAGAGTTGCATATAGAGGAGGGTTCTTGCAATTCAAATCTCGAGCCCTTACATTTGAAATCTTCTCTTTCCACTTCTCGTGTCTAGTGTGCGGTGGTTGAGTAAATAGATTGTGAGAAGAACTCAATTCAGAGATGAAATCGGTGGTAGATTGTGTTACTCTCACTAGCAACCACTCAGGAGAGATCTTCCATGACAGAGTCTGGATCCCATTGAAGAATTTTCAGCACCCTCAAGCTCCCAGGGCACATTTCAAAGTTGAGGTTCATCTCTCTTGTTTGGTCATCTGACGAGGTGTATCATGCGAAACAGGAAAAAACATTTGAATAACTCCACGTGATACTCCCAATATGGCCCAAAATGACTCCTCGTCGAACATGTTTGACCTTGCTCCGTATGGGTAACTTAAGAGGAGGTCTATAAATCTAAAATATATGTATTTTCTGTGGCGTCCCTGTATGTGATGTCTACTCCTGAAACTCATAACCCATGTAAATATTCAAGGTTGGTCCAATTGGTGTTCCTTTCAAAGTCTGCAAAATGCTGGCTCGAGACACCATAATCTCAGGCTCTAATGGGTTGTCTATCACCTCAGAGTTACTACCTTCTAAAGCAGTGTCTATTACCTTAGTTGGAATCTCTATCTCAGAGCCAACTGGATTTGGTGGTGTCTCTTCCTCATTGGTTGAAAAATGAGAATCCTCTCTGAAGTCTGTATTTTCTTCTTGATCAACATTCATATCTTTAACTGGAAGCGGGTTCTCCTCGTTTATCTCCTCACTGTCTTTAGTGCTTGAGATATATTTACCAAATTTTAAGACGACCTGCTCGGTGAAGTAAATCACTGCTCTGATAATGCATTCTGCCTCAAAATGTCCAAATTTGTGACACTTGCCACATTTTCTAGTTGTAATAGACTTGTCGATCGATTTCGCTGGATAGTAACCAGGGGGGTCGCTTTGTGTTGCGGTCTCTCCACATCGAAAGCTAGAGTTTGCATATCATGGTCATAGCAAGTTGATAGGAACTTACGCTGTGTTTCTTGCTTCATCTTCATATCTTCTCGTTCTCCCTGTCGGTTCTCCCGATCATGGTTGAGGGTAGCCTCCCATTGGATTTCATCCTCAATGTCCGTAACCCACAGCTGAAGTCGACAGATCTCTCATCGTATTTCCGCCCGGAAAGGCTCGGGCATGTATCTCATTAATGGCATGGCTAAGGTTTAGTGTTGAGAGGTGACATAGGTTTAAAAATTTAACTTAGGGTTGTTGATTTTAAAAATCAACAATAGTAATTGAGGGTAAGGTCAAAGTTTTGGGCTATGGCTGGGGATAGAAAAGAACAAAAATTTTGTTGAGGTGGTTTGGGTGAGGGTGGATGCTAGGAAGCCCTAGAATGAGACTAAAATTGGGCTAACTCTAATACCAAATGATACTGGAGGAGAAATTTCAAACCACAAAAGAAACTTTTATTAATAGGAAAAGAGGGTTATCACACATACAAATGGGAGAAAACATCACCAAAACACAAAACGACACAAACGAACACTTCAAGAGTGTATCTCAAGGGCAGTGTAGGTTGGTTGGAAGGTGGGGTAGAAAGCCGGGAAGGTGGGATAGCAACTGGGAGTAGCAGGATAGCAGTTGGGATGCCAAGAAAGTAGAGGACAGCAGCCTGTTGACTACAAAAGGGGGTTGGAAATCAATCTGCAGGAGTGTAGGGAGGAGTTAGAGGTGATTTGGCGAGCTCGGAAGTAGTCAGCGATTGTTGGACAGAGGGCAGGAGTGGCGGCAACCTGTTGTAGGGTTGGGAGGTGGGCTGGTAGCAGCAGGAAAGTAAAGGACAACGGCCTGTTAGATGCAGGAGAGGGTTGAACAACGACCTGCAGGGGTGTAGGCAGGTGGACAGACAGACATATCTCAGCGGGGTCGAGATACAATCAGAGCACTATTCGGGCCTTCGAAAACGATCACCACCTTAAACGAGAGACAGCCGGAGCACTTCCTTGACGTTGGATACAGCCTCGAAGAGAAAAACTGTAGGATAAAACCTAAATTCAGATATCAAGAACAAGAACTTCAACTCTAAACATATCATCCCATATTTATAAGAGGTCGGACTTATTTTAGGTAATGAAAATAAGGAAGAAGAGTAAAATATAATCATGTTTTCAAATTTTAGGAAATGATTTAAAATAGTAAAGGTATTAAAATTAGGGAGACTAAAATATAACCATGATTTCATATTTTAGGAAAGGCTTAAAATAGGAAAAGAAGTAAAATAATAAGTGATTTTAAAATAAAAAAGGAGAATAAAAATAAGATTCTAGTTTTAGGAAAGGTTTTAAAATAAGAAAGTGCTAGGAAGAAAAATAAGAAAGAAAAAAAGGAAGGAAAAAAAGGAGAGGAGGAAAAAGAAAATGGAGGGAAAAAGGAAAGGAGGAAGAGAAATGAGAAATTCAACGTCACTAGTATAAAAGGTTAGAGCAAAATCAAAATCAATTTAAGCATAAATTAATTTCATTAATAAAATAAATACTTATAGTTTTAATTTAGGAGTTGTTCGCATTGCAGAAAAAGGAAGAACATAAAAGAAATATATTGTATTTGGAATACTTTGCAATTGTTTAGTTCACTGTAAAATAAATCTAAAACTTCATATTTTATTGTTTGATTCGAAGTAAAATGAAATCGATGTAAAACATGAAGTCTGCAACAAACATGCGGATGGACGGCAATGGCGGCCAGCGATGGGTAGTGATAGGCAAACCGTGTATTTAGAATCCACCCAAACTCAGCCAAGTACAAATATATTGAAAATAAATGGAGGAATGAATTTTAAATGTGCTGATATTTTACATATACACCTGCTCGGTAACTTCACGATCGTATGAACTACTTTATTCCATAGAGTAAAACATGAGCATAGGTATACCAAATGAAGATTTAATCTGAATCCATTCACTATCACAACAAAAGATAATCTTATCTGCAAAAGAAATGCAAAATTTCTTAATTTCCAAAATCAATTTTAAGAAAACTACTAAATTATAGCAAATAATGAGCATGCGAGCATCCAAGGCTAAACAACCCAAAATTGGATCATTGTAATGAAATGCTCCTAGAAAAGTGATTCACATAGAACAAAATAAAACAATCTAAGGAATTCTTGGCAATGAAAGATTTAACCTACATCTGAACACACCAAAATTACTAGCAAAATACGTAAAAACATAAATTAAAATGTTGAGTTGGAATTGAGACATAAATGGGGAACAAATAGGAGCATATACAAGGACAGAACTGTAGCTTAACAACGCTAAAAACAATATAAAAAAAATAAAAATTTGATAACAAAGAAAACCAAATCTAAGGCATGAGCTAAACAACATACTTCTAGTTCAGCCGCTCGAGTATTTCTATCAAAACGCCTTCCTCTCTTCTTACTTCCCTTCTGCTGAACTTTTTCTGAAACATCAGTGTCACGGATCAACTCAGATGAATCATTCAACAATGTCGGTGATTCCAAATTGCTGCTCCCATTTTCTGAGATACTGGAGCTAATAATTTCTTTGTTCAAATTCATAACTCTGCAAAATACATCAAAAAACATCAGATGCATATCTTATTGTAAGCATGAAATCTAAATAATGATTTCAAGAAGCGTAACATAATCAAGTACTTCAAGCTTTCTAATGGGAAAGCTGCTAAGAGAAATTAAGATAATTAGGAATTCAGAACAAGTTTCCACTATGAAATTGCATGAAACAATTATACCAAATGATAAAGACTGAAGGCCTAACATGCAAAACCAAATGTGCCCATCTCATCCGTTCTCTTGACCACCAAAGCTACTCTCTCCTTGATAATAAAGTCCACCTCTTCAATTAACCAATTCCCTTCCGCCTTGTCTGCCTGGATTTGCCTACCCTCACTCTGATCCCCTGAACTCCCACAATCACATAGCTTCATTGGCAATGGAAGTGGCTGGGACACTGCTAGAGTACTAGTGTCAAAAAATGAATTTGTCAAAACATCAATTTTAAGGGCCGTTCGAGATCACTTTTTTTTTTTATGTTTTGTTTTTATTTTTATTTTTTTTGTTCATGTTTTCATTTAAATCAAAACATGTTTGACTATTTGATTAAGTGTCCATTTGAAATCACTTATGATTTTTTTTTATATTTTATTCACTTTATTTTGATTATGTTTTTACTTTAAAATATATATATATATATTTGACATGTTATAACATGTTTGATTATTTTTAAAATATACTCAAAACTACTTTTGAGTGTATTTAAAAACAAGCTAATTTATTTAAAAAAAAAAAACACAAAACATACATATTTTTAAAATAAAATAAAAATAAAAGCAAAAAACAAAAGTGATCCCAAACAAGCACTTAGCATTTTTGGGACTTTTATATAGGAACTTAAATCTGAGTCTTTGAAAAAATCATATTTTCCCCACTACGTCTGTGAGATGAAATTTACTATGATGTGGGAGATGTTCAAACTAAGACCTTGAAAACAAATTACAAATATAATGCAAACCTATTATTTTTCAAATTTGACTTAGACTTTAATAATAATTAAGGAAATATGAGCTATTTCTATTAATTTTCAAATTTGATCTAAAATTCTATTATATATTACGAGATGTTAAATTTTGTTTCCTTTTAAAAGAGAGTTGGTTGGGCAGGTAGGCCTGATTCATGCTCGTCACTTATATGTTTCAAGAGTTGACATGTATTATGTCCATTACTGTGTCCTTTCATTCCAGTTAGTGCATCAAAGGTAATTGTGCTTGAACATTATGTCGTTGAAAAAATATAATTATGGAAATTTAACATGTTCAGTTCTCCAAGGTTTACAACATATGCGATCTTATCTTATTAATATCTGATAATCAATCAATAATTAATTAGTCTAATTAAAACTTAACAAGCCTAATTAAATAGGACATTTAATATCTTAGTTATTACTTGGTACCTTTGTTATATGATTTATCACTTAGGTAATACATAACTAATTAAACTACCATATTAATGCTAAAAAGGCAAACTGAATTATAAAAAAAAAGATAGATAAATTTAAAATAAATGAAAAATCATCCAGTAACTACTCCTGCTGATTATCTCGTATCTCCCTATTTTCCTCTTCATTTCCACATAACTGCTGGACGCTGCTTGGAACCACAAACCCTGTCTTCTATCCTTACGTCCGAACCCACAGCCCCACAGACCCCTTTCTCCAATTCTCCCTTTCGGTCACAGCAAATCGTAGAGAACGATCTCCCTCTTCTCTGTGAATCTTGCACCTTATGGTGCACATTCGCTCCCGTCATCGGAAAAAATTTGCCTACGTACGACGTACGCAGCGCTCCCTACGTCCGCCAATGGCGGGCTTCACAAATCAGCGAAGTCGATCCCACCGTCTTTATTTCAAATGTGACCCGTCGACCCGGCCCGCTAGGTTATAATCGAGTTATAACCGACTCGTACAGGCCGTGTAACCGAGCGGGTCATTACCGCAGTACAACAGTTATAAACGAGCTATAACTGAGCTGAAACTGAGATTGAATACAACGCTGTGTAACCTAGCAGTATAAACGAGTTATAACTGAGCTGTAACAGAGAGTTCATACAATGCGTGTAACCTAGCACTATAAACGACTCATACTGAGCAGTAACCTACGCTGCCTGCTTTACCGAGGCCGTGTAACTACCCGATAACCTCTGCACCGCGCCCAACGAAATGTAACTTTCGTGTAACGTTTCTATAACATCCAAAGCAAGGTACCGCGGGTTTGTAACTTGGTTGTAATCTCCGAGAAACCTTCGTTAAAAAATCAGAGCGCGAGAATGTTATAACCGAGTAATAATCTTCTTTAAAAAATCAGAGCGCGAGAATGTTACTATTTAAGTAGCAGAAAGCTAGGGTTTACTGTTTTATTGCATTTTGATGTTGAAGATGGACCGCACAAACTAGCATTTCGTCTCTTGCGGGGAAGGAGAAGATATATTTCCATCCAACGAAAACAAGTCGATGTTAAAGTGGAGGTATATTAGTTCTATGTTTGTAGTTCTGTATTATTTTTAGAAAAATATCTCTGTGTTTTTTCTACCAGGATATCTTTGTTTCCTGGTGTTTTTAGGTTTGTTTATTTGGTATTTTCATTGGTGTGTTTTTTGTTGTGTTTCTTGGTGATTTTCTTGGTGTGTTTTGAGGTAGAGATTTCTTCAGTTTTTATTAAAATGTTGTTTGTTTTTAAGGGTGATCTTATTTGTTGTATGATTTGTAAGAATATTATGGAGGTAAATGTTTGTAAAGTTGTGATTTTTGTTTTATTTGTTGTGCTGTGCTAATTAGGGTTTATTACAATGTTCTTATTTATTGTGTGTGTTTTTTATTTGTAGAGTTGTTTGTTGTAGTAAAATATTTGTAGGGTAGTTTAAAATATAGTTTTATATTTTTCGCAGTTTGATGAAAGTGAAGCTAAATGTAAAGATCAAAGTACAAATCTTTTACTTGAAACGGTTGTCCACAATGACAAAGAAGCTTACAAAATATATTGTGCTTACGCTCATCATAGCGGATTTAGCGTCCGTAAGGAGCACGGCGCGTTCTGGCCTAACTCCAGGAATCTTAAGACGAAAGACTTTGTTTGTGGGAGAGCAAGTTTCAAAAAAGAATTGAAGATCACACAAATAGTTAAATACAAAAGAGTAGACACAAGAAGCGGTTGTCCGACGATGATTTGTTACTCAATTGATGTTGAAGGCAATTGGACAGTTAAAAAATTCATTGAGTCTCATAACCACTCAGCAAACCCCGGTGACAAGCATCTCTTGCGGCTTAGTAGAAAGTATAAGCAAGTGAATGCAGAGGTTCTCAGATCGATGACACAGTCAGAGATAAGACCCAGAGAAACGTTTAACTTTCTAGCCACAAAAGTTGGGGGAGTTGAGAACCTGGAGTGCACTAAGATAGATGTCTTTAATTTCATTCAAATAGATAGGAGATGTAGAATTGAAAATGACGATGTCAATGCTTTATTGCAACTTTTCACAGAGAGATGTGCTGAGGATAGCTTGTTTCAGTGGGACTTCGAAATTGATGAAAGTGGTAGGCTAAAGTTGTTTTTTTTTTTTAAGTGTTTTTTTTTTTTTGTGACGGCACTTCCAGGCATAATTATGATTGTTTTGGTGATGTTATAATTTTTTATACTAGCTACAGATTAAATAGATATAACTTGTGTTGTGCTCCTTTTGTTGGTGTTAAGCACAATTGACAAAATGTTCTCTTTGGTGTTTGTTTTTTATCAGAGGAGACGACAGAGTCCTTCAAATGACTTTTTAAAATTTTTATCTGTATTATGGGCGACAATCATCCAATTACAATATATACTGATTAGGACCATTGATTAGGACCAGACAATGGGAAAAGTCATAGAACAAATCTTGTCAAATACACGACATGGATTATGTCAGTTGCACATATATAACAAGTTGCCTACAAAGGTTCACTGTAGGTTAGCGAATAAATTAATAGCTAATTTTTTTTATAACTGTATAAGCAAATGCGAGTCTGAAGAGAAATTTGATAATTCATGAGAGATGATGATTGAGAGTTGTAATCTACAAGACAATGTTTGGTTAGATGAGAAGTACAACATCAGAGATAAGTGGGATGCAGCCTTTAATAAGAATGTATTTGGAATGAGAATTTTATCCACCAAAGAAGTGAATCAACGAACAATATTTGTCATGGTGTCGCAAAGCCCACAAGTTCTATTACTGATTGTTTTTTGGGTCTTAAACAAGTCATGAGAACATGGAGGCGTAACGAGAAGCATGAAGATTATAAGTCCGATCAATCTGCGATCACTCCAGTTGCTAAAACAGCCCTACATTGAGGCAGACATGTGTATTTTACTCAAGGAAGCTTTATAATATGTTTGAGGAAGAGTTTATTCATGGATAATGTGATCTCCAATTACACGCCTCTGTAAACAATGAAAATAATTTTTTTATTAATAATTTGGATGATCACACCACAAACAGAACTTAGGTTGTAAATTATGATCCTTTCAGTTCGGATGTGCAATATAGCTGCAAAAAATTCGAAATGATGTGTCTGTTATGTGCTCACTCTCTACGAGTATTAAATTTTTTACACATTAAGAAGATCCCGGATAAATATCTCCTATTCAGATGGTCCGCAAATGTAAAGAGAGATGTGTATAACAATGATGCATACAAGCATTTCCAACAATCACAAATGTGGAATGATGGTAAAGGTAGTCTAATATTCGAAACAAACATACAAAAAATGTCATATCTACGTACTAATAAAACCAAGGGAAATGAAGAGACTGAGCAGTGCATGAACGATTCAATGAAAAAATTATCGTTGGATATTGATAATATAATAAGTGAAAGAGGTTCAAAGTCAGGGAAACAAACAAAAAAAAATAAAAATCCGGTGAATAACCAAACAAATCTTGTTGATCCCGCCAAAATATGACCTAAAAGAATATCAAATGTCAGTCTAAAAGGTTGCTGGGAGAGAAAGAAAAGAGCAAA